AGATGGCCAAGAAGCACATGAAAAGCTGCTCAACATCACTAGTTATTGGAGAAATGCAAATCAAAACTACAATGAGTTATCACCTCACCCCAGTTCGAATGGGCATCATCAGAAAATCTACAAACAACCAATGTTGGAGAGGGTGTGGAGAAAAGGGAGCCCTCTTGCACTGTTGGTGGGAATGTAAATTGATACAGCCACCATGGAGAACAGTATGGAGGTTCCTTAAAAAATTAAAAATAGAATTACCATATGACCCAGCAATCCCACTACTACGCATATATCCGGAGAAAACCATAATTCAAAAAGACACATGCACCCCTATGTTCATTGCAGCACTATTTACAATAGCCAGGTCATGGAAGCAACCTAAATGACCATCGATAGATGAATGGATAAGGAAATGTGGTACATATATACAATGGAATATTACTCAGCCATAAAAAGGAACGAAATTGGGTCATTTGTTGAGACATGGATGGATCTAGAGACTGTCATACAGAGTGAAGTAAGTCAGAAAGAGAAAAACAAATATCGTATATTAACGCATATGTGTGGAACCTAGATAAATGGTACAGATGAACCAGTTTGCAGGGCAGAAATTGAGACACAGATGTAGAGAACAAACGTATGGACAGCAAAGGGGGAAAGCGTCAGGGGTAGTGGGGGTGGTGGTGTGATGAATTGGGAGATTGGGATTGACATGTATTCACCGATGTGTATTAAACTGATTACTAATAATGAAAAAAAATTGCTCATAATAAGAACAATATTTCTTCCTTTCTGAACTCTTATACCTTGTATTTATTTTTCTTGCATTATTGTACTTGCTAAGATCTCCAGTACAGTGTTAACTAGAAGTGGGAATTATGGGGAGCTATGAATCATTCTCAGTCTAAAAGTGAAAGCTTTTAATGTTTTACCAAACTAGTTTTTTGTATATAGGGAATAATAAATTGAATAATAATTTTATCCTTTAAAAAAAAAAGAAATATAATTTCCAAATGTCTTCTATAGATTTTTGTCTTAAGAACATTAATATTTATAAACTTTTAGTAATTTATAAAGTTTATACTCTTGAATAAGTCATGCCTTTAAATTGACCTGAATAATCTGTGTAAGAAACTCTTTACCACGTAGTCTCTGGAAAGTTTCTAATACTTGTTAAAACTCTAAAAATAGAGTTATACGATAATTAGGTTTTAAAAATTGCAATAATAATAAATTGGTCTTGCAGCATATTTATGTTCTATGAAGCTTTTGGTTAAGGTTTGGAGACATAAAATACTTATAATAAGGTAACATCTGTGTTCCTCCTATAACTGACTCACTCATTTATTTTCCTTTTTTGTTTATATTCAGTAACTTATTAAGTCCTTTGTGTATTTTATGTTGGAGGGAGAATCACCTCCAGTTTTCTTAGGCAGAAAGTTTCTGATGTCCATTGCAGAAATACCCATGTTATATGTAGGTTTTCTAATTTTTTTAAAGCTAAGCTTCAGCTAGAAAGAAAATTTCATCTGATATTTTATCCTTATCTGTATGTACATAGCATATGTTTTTTCCTGTAATACATCATTTAGCAGTTGACCAACTTTGTTCAGATAATTTCTTATAATTTTTTGTTTCTCCCTTTCTTAGGAACAAATTGTCTTTGAAAGGAAAAAGAGTCTTCCTAATATCTCCAGATTTCTTTTTTTTTCTCTTTAAAAACCCAACCCAGTGGCGTTTATAATTTGTGAGATACTATGCAGATTCTTTCTCCCAAGGGATATATTCTAGGAAATGAAAAATTTTATATACACATATAAGTAAAAAATGTAAAATACTTTAGTAAGCGATGTAAGAAAAAACTTACCCAGGGTTGTAGAAGGAAAGAAGGAGAGACATTTTTTGAATATCTATCGTGTGTTAAAAAATAGTAATAGTTGAAAAAAATGGTACAAATGAACCTATATACAAAACAGAAATAGACCCATAGACATAGAAAACAAATTTATGGTTACCAAAGGGGAAGGGCGGGGGGTAAATTAGGAGTTTGGATTAACATACACACACTACTATATATAAAATGGATAACAAACAAGGACCTACTGTGCAGCACAGCGAACTATACTCAATATTTTGTAATAGCCTATAAGGGAAAAGAATCTGAAAAGAAAAAAAAAGAAAAAAATATATATATAACTGAATCTCTTTGCTATATACCTGAAACTAACACATTGTAAATCAGCTATACTTCCATAAAAAAAGAGCCATAATGAAAGAATAGTAGTAGTGATAACAATAGTAATAATAGCTAACATTTTCTGAGTACTTCCTATGTGTCATGGATGGTGCTGGGAAATATCTCATGTAGCCATCATAACAACTCTGTAAGATAGGTAATACATTTATTCCCGTTTGGTAGATAGGAAATTGAGAACATAGAAGGTTTGCAGAGTGAACAATGTTGGATCCAGGGACTGTCTGAATGAATATAACAGGTTAAATTATTGGAAGGAGAGATACCTATTAGTTTGCTATTGTAGTAGCCTGAAGAAGAGATGGTGAGGGACATAAATGAGGCAAGGGCAGTAGGTTGGAGAGGAATTTGAGAGATAAATTGTACATGGAATTATTTAAGGGGATGATTTCATGTATGGGACATGGAAGAAGGTGAAGCCAAGGTGTCTCAAAGTGTCACACGTAGGTGGATAAGTGGTTGTTGATATCATTAACCTAGGAAAAGAGAGGAGAAAGAACAGGTTCATGGAGATAAGGGACTAAGATAATGAGTTTGGTTTTGGACATGCTGAATTTGAGGTGCTGTGGGACATTTAGATAGAGGGTGAACTGAGAAGGGGAACTTCTATGTGTAATAACTGAAATGACCAACTAGAAATTTCATATAATCATTCCAAATTTCAATTTCAGGAAAATACTTGGAAAATTCTACTCATGGAGTCCTGGCTTTGGTGCCGCTTTGCCAGCTTCTTATGTGGCCATTCTAATTGAGAGAAAAAGCAGGTAAACTTTTACATACCTACATATTTAATACAACTGATTTACTGTCCACCATCACAACTAGAGTGTTTTTTTTTTTTTTGCTTACTGTTTATCATGGTCCAGGGAGGAGAAATATTTCTACATATATTTTTCAGTCTTGTAAATATTGGGCTGGCCAAAAAGTTTGTTTGGTTAGGGAATATGTTGTTCAATACAGTTCTTGGTGAAAATGAAAACTGTGTCTTTTATTTTTACTTAAAACTGAACGAACTTTTTGGCCAACCCAATATTTGATGGACAATTTAACTTTATACTTATATTATTTAGGTTTTTAAGCCTATAAAAAATAAAGATTGACATTATATAGTAAAAATGCCCATTAGTCTTTGTTTACTAAAAAATTGAAGGGTTCTCTGATGTGTCAAACTAAAACATGGCTTGCATAAATTCTAATTAAAGATCTTTTCCATAACTGCAATACCATTATCACACCTAAGAAAATAAACAGTTTTCTTTTATCATTTAAATCTGTAATTTGCTTCGGGCTCATTAACCTCTATTAAATCAATTATTTTTTTTTGGATATCTTCTCATTTAAAAAAATTTTCATTTTTATCAACTTGAAAATGTTCCACGTGGAATAATAAGATTTCTACAAAATGCTACAAACTGTTATGTAAGTTTTTCAGTCAGGTAAACTGTTGAAGTTAAACATTTTGCATAAAAGAATATTTGCCATTTCAGGAATAATTATTTTTATTGTTGAGAACTGCTTTGATTCCATCTTTATCCCGGGGAATAAAGATACGGTCAGGTATATTAATCAAGATGGGATCATCTTTCAGTTTATGAAGATGTTTGTTATAATCATTGATCCCCTAGTAAGACTAAATATTTACTTAAACCACCTGAAGCCATTTTAATGCATTTTTGTAAATGTAATAGTATCTAAATTTTTGTGATTCTCTGTTTGATGATACTTTTAGATTATTAAAATTACTAAAATCAAAGGATGTTATAACCCCAGGAAAATCAAGTCAGTATTGCTAGAAACATAGGTTCCCCACCTGAGAGGACAGTACAGAATAGTTGTTAAAAGTGTGGATTCTGGAGCTATAAAATCTGGCTTGGGAGACTGGCTCCGCCACTTATTGTGTGACGTCTATGGCTTATTCCTTACCTGAAAAATGGAGGTAGTGATAATCTACTCACATGGTTATTCAGAGAATTTAGTGAGTTACTTATGTAAGTGTGCTTAGAAGAGTGCCTGACACATGGTAAGTGTGTTAAGTATTTTTATTGGTTTTTTGACCGTAAGTAATGAGAGCCTTGTTCTGGTGATTGTAACTTTCTGATCAATTTAAAAATCTAAATATTGGTTTTGGAAATATGATTTCAAAGTATGTACTCATATATGAAACTTTAAAGATGCTTTAAATGAAGTTTGCTTCAATTTATTTTTTAGCACTTTAATAAGGTGGCATTTTTGAAGTTATTTGCCTACTTTTCAGCAGAAAATGTTGAAATGAACACCTGTGTAACGATCACCTAGAGTCAACAGTTGTTAACATTTTACCATTTTTACTTTATTTGTATGTGGTTATATGTCTATGTATGTGTGGTATTGTGTGTGTGTACGAACCATATAGAAGTACATTGTAGACGTCATGACATTTTACTCCTAAATACTTTAGAATGCATATTCTAAAATAAGGGTACTTTCCTACATAATTACAACACTATTATCACACATAAGAAAATTAGCAGTCATTCCTGATTACCATCTTGTCCATATTGTCCTAAAATGCTTTTTTTTTTTTTTTTTTTTGCGGTACGCGGGCCTCTCACTGTTGTGGCCTCTCCCATTGCGGAGCATAGGCTCCGGACACGCAGGCTCAGCGGCCATGGCTCACAGGCCTAGCTGCTCCGCGTCATGTGGGATCTTCCCGGACCGGGGCACGAACCCACGTCCCCTGCATCGGCAGGTGGACTCTCAACCACTGCGCCACCAGGGAAGCCCTCCATAGTTTTATCTTTTCTAGAATGTCATATACTTGGAGTCATACAGTATGTTGGCTTTTCAGATTGGCCTCTTTTACTTAGTAATATGCATTTAAGCTTCTTCCATGTCTTTTCATGGCTTGATAGGTTGTTTCTTTTTAGAACTGAATAATATTCCATGGTCTGGATGTACCACAGTTTATTTATCCATTGAGTTACTGACAGACATCTTGGTTGCTTCCAAGTTTTGGTAATTATGGATAAAGCTGCTATAAACCTCTGTTTGTGGGGTTTTGTGTAGGCATAAATTTTCAACTCCTTTAGATAATTACTAAGGGGTGTGATTGGGTATGATCATCTGGTAAGAGTATATTTAATTTTGTAAGAAACCGCCAACTGTCTTCCAAAGTGTCTGGGTCATTTTGTATCCCCACTAGCAATGAATGAGAATTCCTGTCGCTCTACATCTTCACCAGCATTTAGTGTTATCAGTGTTCTGAATTTTGGCCATTTTAATACATGTGTGGTGGTATCTCATTGTTGTTTTAGTTTGTATTTCCTCGATGACATATGTATTTTGTGGAGCATGTTTTCATATGCTTACTTATTTTAATCTCTGTGTGTCTATATGTTTAAAGTGGGTTTCTTGTAGATGACATATAGTTGGGCTATGTTTTGAGATCAACTCTGACAGTCTTTTAATTGTTGTATTTAGACCATTGACATTCAAAGTGATTATTGATATAGTTGGATTAATTTCTACCATATTCATTACTGTTTTCTCTTTGTTGCCTTTGTTCTTATTTTTGTCTTCCACTCTTATTCTGCCTTTTGTGGTTTTAACTGAATGTTATATGTGGTTCCATTTTCTCTTCTTTCTTAACATATCAGTTATACTTATTTTAGTGGTTGCCTTAGTTTTTACAGTGCATCTTTACAACTAATCCAAGTCCACTTTCAAATAATACTGTACCCCTTCATAGGTAATGAGACTATCTTATAGTAACAAAATAGCCCAAATTCCTTCCTCCTGTCCTTTGTATCATTGTTGTCATTCACTTCACTTATAAGCATAATTACCACACACACACACACACACACACCACACACTCGATATATACATACATAATCAAATACATTGTTGCTATTATTTTGAATAATTGTTATCTGTTTGAACAATTAAAAATAAGAAAAATAAAATTAAAAAATTTACCTTCACTCATATCTTATTTGATGCACTACCTTTCTTTATGTACATGAGTTTCTGACTCATACTTTTCTTCTCTCTAGAGAACATTTAACATTTCTTGCAGAGCAGGTCTACTGGCAACAGATTCAATTTTGTCTAGTAAAATCTTTATTTGTCCTTCACTTTTGAAGGATAATTTTACAGGGTGCAGAATTCTAGGTTGGTGTTTTTTTTCTCTCAATGCTTTCAGTATTTCACTCCACTCTCCTGTTTGCATGGTTTCTGAGGAGAAGTCGGATGTAATTCTTTTTTTTTTTTTTTTTTTTTTGTGGTACGCGGGCCTCTCACTGTTGTGGCCTCTCCCATTGTGGAGCACAGGCTCCGGACGCGCAGGCTCAGTGGCCATGGCTCATGGGCCTAGCTGCTCTGCGGCATGTGGGGTCTTCCCGGACCGGGGCACGAACCTGTGTCCCCTGCATTGGCAGGTGGACTCTCAACCACTGCGCCACCAGGGAAGCCCCAGATGTAATTCTTATCTTTGTTCCTCTATAGGTAAGGTGTGTTTTTCTTTAAGGATTTTTATTTATCTATGATTTTCTGTAGTTTGAATAAGATATGCCTGGGTGTAGTTTTGTTTTGGCATTTTTCCTGCTTGATGTTCTCTGAGCTTCCTGGATCTATGGTTCAGTGTCTGACATTAATTTGGGAAATTTTTGAGTCAACATTGTTTCAAATATTTCTTTTGTTCCTTTCTCTCTTTCTTCTCCTTCTGCTATACTCACTACACATATGTTATACCTTTTGTAATTATCCCACAATCCTTGGATATTCTCTTCTGTTTTTTTTTCAGTCTTTGTTCTCTTTGCTTTTCAGTTTCTGAGGATTCTACTGATAGATCCTATAGCTAAGAGATTTTTTTCCTCAGCTGTGTTCAGTCCACTAATAATCCCATCAAAGGCATTCTTTTTTTTTTTTTTTGATTTATTTATTTATTTTTGCCTGTGTTGGGTCTTTGTTTCTGTGTGAGGGCTTTCTCTAGTTGCGGCGAGCGGGGGCCACTGTTCATCGCAGTGCGCGGGCCTCTCACTGTCGCGGCCTCTCTTGTTGCGGAGCACAGGCTCCAGACACGCAGGCTTAGTAGTTGTGGCTCACGGGCCCAGTTGCTCCGCGGCATGTGGGGTCTTCCCAGACCAGGGCTCAAACCCGTGTCCCCCTCAACCACTGCGCCACCAGGGAAGCCCCAATTTGTGTCTTTTGCCTCTTGGTATGTCTTGTAATTTTTTCTTGTTAGCCGGACATGATGTACCAGGTAAACGGAATTGCTGTAAATAGGCCTTTTGTAATGTAGTGGTGAGTTGTGTGGGGAAGGGAAGTGTTCTATAGTCCTTTGACTCGGTTTCAGCCTTCCAATGAGCCTATGCCTGTGGACTGTGAACTTAACAAGTGTTTCTCAATTTTTCCCCTCCCCCTTGGTGGGGCAGGATGGTTAGAGTGTGCTGGAGTTGGGTTTTTCCCCTTCCTCCATGTGGAATTCTAGAGCCACGTGGAGTTGGGTGTTTTCCTTCCCCAGGTGAGTAAGGCTCTCATAATACCCCAGCAGGTTAGGCTCTGCTTAACTAGTTTCCCCTGAGGGCAACCAGTACTCTGGCTTATTTCAAAATGGTTCCTTTTCCCCTCCCTCTACTTGGAAGTACAAGGGGATTTTTCTCTGCTATTTACTGTGAGAACCTAGTCAAGCTCCTGGAGGTAAAACTCAAAAAAGTGTGGGGCCCCCTTAAGACTGATACCTCTGTAATTTTTAACTTCCACACTGAGCCTCCTGCTATTTATC